ATTATCCCCACCTTGGATGATCCCCGTTAGCAGTGAGGTGAATTCATCTCTTAGTTTGCGGGCTTGCTGCACCCGCGCCTGGAGACGAGTTTTCTACGAAACTTTGTTGGTTACCACGGATAAGGCTTGCTAAACCGCTACGAGCGAATTTTGATCGCCGCCAAATATTGGGTTGTCCCATAATTCCTGTCCGATTTTTGATCAAATTCAAATTTCTTCAAGTCGAATTAGTGTCATTGCGAAATATGTTGGTATGTCAAAGAGTGCATCTAGACCGTTAGCCAGGACGTTTTGGAAGGTCAACCCGCATCGGGGATAACGATCTAATAAGAAGTCGAATAGATTAATGACAGTAACAGAAATACTATCTTAGGTGATCTGTCGAATAGAGCTTGTGCAAGGAAAGACCCAGTAGAGAAGATTAGGCTGTGTTTGCTCAGCCCCTGCTGGCTGTCGTCATTGAAGCTGAGGTTCGGTCGCAGATGGAGTAACGATAAAGACATACGAGCTGTGAGAAGTCAGCCTCATCCTGGGCTCCACTCACTTTCGATGAGGACCCCTTGCGCCACGGCTTGGAAGTGCACACGGACGCTACTACCAGGGTATTGTAGCAGACACCTGGGCGCAGCCGATGCACCAGCACACGCCATCAGGATGGAGTGGGCAGCAGCAGAATGAAGACTTGATAGAAACCATATGCACCGACCAGCCATGACCGAGAAGCTGGTCTGACCCTCTGGGGGAATTTCATTCTGTGACCTCAATAGCAGAGCGTTCCCTATTGATCACTAGTGGGGATGAGTCATGAGTTCACTACGACAACAACACGCAGCACGCCTGATGGCTACCTCGCAGCCAGGGCTCACCAGCTCAACAAAAGCCCAAACTCCGTGGTCAGAGAATATTGCTTTTGATTTGTTTAGATTAAGTGGGCCATCCGTTTTCACAGTCGTTTTGCTATATGCGGACAAGTATTGCGAATGCCATCGTGGAACAGCTCCCGAGGGTTGGCCGCAGTTAAGATGGGAGAGAACCGTCCCAAACGTCCCATAATCCCCTTTCTCCGAGTAGACGCCCAACCTCACACAGCAAAAGGTAACTCGCTACGTTCTGAGGGAAACTGGCTGGACCATGATACCATACCCATCGTATAGCCGTCGCATCACTCCATCGGGCTATCCCTTTCAGTGCCTTGAGCCAGCAGCGGCGAGAGAAAAAAGTCACCAAATACAACCACTCCAAAAACGACCTTGCTGAATTCTTCAGCTCATAGCTTCACCCATTCTAGGAGGAAAGCATCCAAAGTTTCCCTGGTGAATGGATGCATATCGGTGATTATGATAATGGTTATATTTTTGATCAATTGGTTTTAGAGGAAAGATAAAACTCGATGAGAAGAAAGTGGCGAAATTCGGACAGGAATTATGGGACAACCTCAATATGTAATGTCATCGGGTCCTTTGGAGGCCTAGCATACTCCACACTAGGATAATTTACTTATTTCATCGTACCACTGCGCTCAGCAAGTGCAACTAATTACGAGTTAAAAATTCTATTACTTCACCGGACAGTGTTAAATTTACGAAAATCGCTATGCAAAACGTGCTGCGCGACTTTGAGACCTGCTAGGTGCTCTAATGGTACGTCGGTGGCGAAGAAGCGAAGGAATATCCGTTCAGAAAGAAGAAAAAAATATGAACTTTTATTGGCACTTGGATTTCACCCTGCTGCAGGTTGACAGCTCAGAAGCGGCCTCATGAACGAGTTCAGCGCAACGCGTTTGGTAACACATGCCAAACCACACTCCAATCGAGTTGCTCAGTTGTGCCGCTGCTGGCAACGCTGCTCGTCCAAATCACCAACTAAACTAGTGGGCGGATCGCTTTTGGGGGCGGAGTGCTTTCGAAGTCCTGCTCAGCAACCAGCGACCTCTTCGTGAAAGCGCTACACCTCGCTTTCCTGGGCAGCCAAGTAACTGATTCGTGTGGTGCATATGCTTCCCCAATTGCGCTTCCCACTTTTTTCGTAATCGTGCTTTAATGCTATGACTTTCTTAGTCGAAACATTGTGTGAAGCTCTGGCATTTGTTTACATGTAATGATTCCGATTTGAATATTATAGACGCAGACAGTGGCAGGACATGGTCTGCGCCACGCGATCCAGCCGAGTAACCTGACACGTCTTAATCTACAAGGTATAGTTGACATTTGTACTATTATTGATCGAATATGATTCGAGAAGCACAGCTATAATTTTGATGGGAAACACCATCCCGCACTATTTGGAAAATGAATATTCTGAGCGCGTGATTACGATGGGGCGAATACGAGGTCACGCGAAGCCAGCGATGACCTGTTATTATGTTTTGATACATAGCACTAATTTGCTGAAGAAATGGTGGACGGTGAATGGCTTTAAACCTACTGTGGGAAAATGCACGTAGCCCAACAAATATTTTCAGGCGAAGTCAGTGCAGGAACTCGTCTCTAACCCTGATCAAAACGATTTCCGTAAAACTCCAGTTGACTTCTCGAAGCTGTTTCGGCCAGGGCGACTTCTGAACGCCCTCCGACAAAGTAGAAGCAAAGGTGAGAATTCGAGCCAGGCGTTGCTGTATCGAAATCGGAGCTCACCACACAGAACGAGTACTTTCACAGATCGAGCGGTTGTACGATGGACATGCTGCGGCTCTCTTCTGCATGGGATTCGTCACTCATCGCAAATGATATTTCGATCCAAGTTCAGGTTAGAAATTTGACACAATTGCAAGCTAGGTTTAGGAGGCCTAAAGTGCTTGAGGCAGTAGGCATATACCAGGTGGGCATATCAGTCCTAATTAGAGTCATTACGAGCCTCATGCCCATTAAGCCACGAGTCTGGACTAGGACTCCAAGAGCAGGCCTCCTAGAGTACGAAAGAAGGGTCCACAAAGAGAGGAACGCACGGACACCTGCTCGCGACTCAAAAGTGCGAGGCAACTGCACTAAGGCCTTGCCTTGTGTGCTGCCATGCTGCGAGCCTCACCAACCATGGCTTACATGGTCTGCTGCCTCTCTCGCGCGTACACGTACTATCTCGCGTTCACCCTCTCCTCGCAGCGCTTTGTCTCTGCGTCATACCACAGTCAGCCTCACATTGGAAATTTTAGGGTTTTCTATGGTGCTTTTTGCTTTTTCTCCCACTAATGTTCCTCATCGCACCCCTGACCTACTGTTTAAATAAAATAACACACCAATTCGATTCGGACCCGTACCTTTAAATCCTGGTTCCATTCGTGAACGTGTAGTGTTTTTCCTAGCCCTTCGCTGCAAACTGGTTAGACCCGATTAAAGTGTTTGGTCCACGAAAATCGCAAGATAAGGCTCACACAAGTATTGACTTTCAGGGGATTCTCCTACAAGGAGCGCTATTCGATGGCCAACTTCGTGACACCGTGGTCAGTACTCCACCAGTCACCACCGCTCCGCAGCTAACACTTGGTTGGACGAAAATCGTAAGTAAAATCGTAAATTACAGGTTTACGAACTACTTGAACTCTTCTCGATGGTGCTGCTGCAAATGGCGCCTACCGTAGCTCTTAACGAAGGAAGGGAGGGGCATTTAACCCATTCGCGACCGCGCAGGATTGCGCAATAGCAGCAGCGTCAGGAGATTTTTCTTCAATAAAATTCGAGTGGAGGGAGATTTCCTCTGCCCAGGGCTGGCGTAGATGAGCGAGGGGTATGAAGATTCTTTCCATGGAAGAAAACTTTCCAAATTCCATTTCAAGCCCTGCAGCCACAGTAATACCATTGTCCCGAGTGAGAGCTTTGTCAGCCACCGGTGGCTGACATTGTCACGAATGGGTTTAAAGATTGCCAGTCAAAAACTTGGGAAGGTGCGAGGTCGCTATATTCGTAAACCACTATAGGCGAGAGGGCGCAAAAACGAGGGCAGCACATTGACTCTTTTTAAGGACCGAGGTTCAAGTAATCCGAAGACGAAATGAAGACGGGGAAGACAGAGAAGACGTAGCGGAAAAACGGGACAGGCCCCTCGCGGACAGCGCGCGTCGTTGCTCCGCGAATTGAGCAACCATATACCAACACAGTGATTCAAACGATGCATAAGAATTTTCTACAGGGATCTCCAACACAATACAAGGAGAGCGAGTCTGTGGCTGTACCGCTTTACACTGACGTTACACGCAGTAAATACATCGCTACCGTAGCGATGCCATGTTCGGACTGTCCACAAATGGAATATTGCAGCTGTGGCATTATTTTTGAGATAGATTCTGAGTATTGTATTGATTTCGTGAAGATGTAGCTACCGGGTTCCTGACAGGAGGCCCGTCACGTGGCGAGAAGGCAGAGTCAGCGGACGGGTGCAGGGCGTGCGTGCGACTGTAAAATGCACAGTGAGTGGTACATTCTATTTAACTTGACGCGAAACACAACGGTACGCGCTGCGTTTCGTCCACTGACTCTGCTTTCTTCCTGTGCGACGTGCCTCCGGCCAGGTACCCGTGATTACTGTAGTGATCTAACGCTTGATGTTCTTCTCCATCGATCTCATGTGTTACGTGTCATGCTAGTAGTTGTGATAATTTTCTGTTGTTTACTATATTCATGATTTTGCTATTCCCACTTGAAAAAAGGGTCTGGGATGCTGAAAAGGGGGGAGATTAAAGCCGCTGAGCCGCACAGCCTGTCAGCGCCTTTTAGTGTGAAATAAGAGATTCGTGAGGCAGCGAAACAGAGGCAGTTCAGGGAGGTAGGCAGAGGGGAGTCATTTGATATGCTGTGAAAAGCCTAGAAGTATGCGGAGTTCAGCAGGGGGTAGACATACTGCGCGACAGATAGGTGACGGCAACTCCCCCCCCCACTCCAACCAACTTTCAGCCACCAATATTTAGATTATTTCCAATGCCAACTTTTTTCGCGCCTACTCTGCCTGCAAATGCAGACAGAGTATGTTCTGGCTGGAGATACGGCTACCATGGAGAGGATAGGAAGGACCTAAGGAGGAGTCTTAGGAAGGTCCTTTTCAGGAGGGGGAGGGGGCGTTGGGTGGACTAAATTTCGGGTCCTGACCTAGAAATTTACCTTACCAAGGTCAGCCGTTCTTCCTGTTCTCACTCGCTACACTACGATAGAAATCCTCCAATTTTTCAGATGATTTTGGGCCCAGCCCGTGGGAACCTTTCAAGTTGTACCAAAATCGTACCACTTTCCGCTTGCTGCGGAACCCAGAAGTCAACTCAGTTTAGAAAGCTACTCGAGTCGTTTAGGCTTATCGGTATCTTTTCTACATGATTCGGATTGCTGTGTATTCATACTTCCACATACCGATCGCGTAGCCATTTTCTCCTTAGTTTGCCGCGCGCGTCGAGTCGCGCGACAATTAGGCAATAGTAAGGGCACGCAATACCTGCTATTCGCATTCTAGCAATCGTGTCTTCGGCTTCTGTCAATTGCCACGAGAATCGGATATTCATTGGGAGACCAAAGAGGTTTGGCTGGTCTTCGGAAGGTATCGACGTCGTGATAAACTGCTGTATTTCCTGAAATTGGAGATTTGTAGAGCTCAAACGACCCTTCACAAATTTGGCTCGTTGTCAAAAAAGAGTATACATGTGCAGCTTTTGACAACATGCCGCACATAGCAATATCAGCAAAATCAGCAACCCATCATCCAAAATTGGCGCGTATTTTAGG